CCCGGTCTGGTGAGGGTGTCCAGCAAAGCCTGTGGACCCCCTCCCCCCCAGCAGACCAGGGGGACAGGAGCAAAGCCGCGGAGCACGCCCACAGCGGGACAGCCCAAGCAGACCAGGGAGATGGGGAGCAAAGCCGCTGGACCCCCCCAGCAGACCAGGGACACCAGAGCAAAGCCGCCACCTGGATTGAGTTTGTAGCTGGAGAGGTTAACAATATTATCCTGTGGGTTGAGGTAGTTGCTGTTGTAGCCTGTAGTGTGGAGCAGTTTAGTAAGTTTATTGTCTTTTCTTTGTCGTAGGGAATAGAAGTGTGTATAGTAGGTTTCTTGTCTGGTGGAACAGAAGTCTTGCAAGGTGTCAGTTGGTGTGGATGTTTGTCTTGAGATGAGACTCTCTAAGTTAGAAATGTCATTCTTGATGGTTTTCTGTTTCTTGTATAAAATACTTATCAGGTGATTGCTTAATTTCTTGGATAATGTGAGGCAGAGTCTTTCACTGTAGTCAGTATAATATGTTGATCTTAATGGACCTAATAAAGGTAGGGCCCAGATAATCTTAGAAGTGGTAGATGTCTCACCAAACCAACAAGATTTAATTAGTAAGTAATGAGATTCTCAAAGAAGACATGGTTCTAGAGAACAATCTTGGTTCAAGTGATCATGAATTAATTCAGTTTAAGCTAAATGGGTGGATAAACAAAAGTAGGCCTGCAATTAGGGCCCTTGGTTTCAAAAGGGCAGACTTTACAAAAGTTAGGGAAGTAGACTTGACTGAGGAATTCCAGGATCTGAATGTGGGGGAGGCTTTGAATTTATTTCTGCAATTTTGATGCATGTTCCTGAAGCCTGTATACCACCAAAGTGTGGGTGGGTGGGGGATTTAGGGGAAAGGTTGCAGACAAAACTAGATGGATAAGGCTCTCAAATTGGTTATTAAAAGAGAGCTTGTAAATAATGAAAGAAGAGCTGGATCAGCAAGGAACACTACCTGTGGAAATAGGGATGTTAAATATCGGTTAATTAAATAGTTGATTAACCTCATGAATTCTCATCAGGTAGTCGATTATTCTGTAGTCCCAAGGGGTGGGGCTGGAAGCCAGGGCACTCCAGCTCCACTCCCAGGGAGTCCCTGCCACCCCGCACTGCTGAGTCTCTCTCAGAGGCAGCAGCATGGGGTGCCAGGTGGGAGCTGGTCCACGAGGTGAGAGTTTGAAACCCAGCTCCCTTTGAGGGCTGGCTGACTGCCTGCCACCCCACACTGCTGCCTATGATAGAGGCAACAGCATGGGGTGGCAGCAGCCCCTGTCCAGGGGGGACTGAGCTACTGGACCCAGCACAAACCAGAATGGAGCCTGCCTGGCTCCTAATACACTTTAAATGCAGAGCCGCAAAGACACAGCTGGTATAGGTCCTAGACCCAGTGCAGGCTGGGACTGAGCTGGGCTGCTGGCCAGCCTGCTAAAAATTTACTGGTGGTGGTGGTGGTGGTGAATTAAGTGTAGTCCGTAGCATTAACCTGTAAGCTTTTGCTTATCGGTTAATCAACTATACTATTACATCCTTATCTGGAAGGTCAGGAAGTATGGGGGAGAACTGGCAAAAGCCAAGCAGAATTGGACATTACAAAGGACATTTAAAATTGATAGCTTCTTTAGCCATTTAAATGGAAAGAAAACAAAGAGCTTGATAAACTTGTGGAAGGAATGCTATCAGATTGCCTACAATGGCATAGTACGTGTTAACAGCTGTCACGATTAAGTATCTCAGTCACTGTTGGTGGGACACTAGATGGGAAGGGCTCTGAGGGTACGTCTAGACTACATGCCTCTGGCGACAGAGGCATGTAGATTAGGCTACCCGACATAGTAAAATGAAGTGGCGATTTAAATAATCGCCGCTTCATTTAAATTTACATGGCTGCCACGCTGAGCTGACAAACAGCTGATCAGCTGTTTGTTGGCTCGAATTTGTCATGCTGTCATTTGCATATCCCTGCCGATGATTTTTGCACAAAAACAAGCAGTATAGACGGGTCTGTTTTGTGCAAAAAATAAACAAAAACCTTTTGTGCAAGATCCCTTATGCCTCAGAAAAGGAAGTATGCAGGATCTTGCGCAAAAAGGGGGGGTTGCGCAAAATGGACCCATCTACACTGCTTGTTTTGTGCAAAAACCTCTTGTGCAAAAAGCATGGGCAGGGATATGCAAATGACAGCATGACAAATGGGGTCCAGCGGAGGGCAACCAAAATGATTAGGGGGCTGGAGCATATGACCTATGAGGAGAAGCTGAGGGAGTTGGGTCTGTTTAATCTGCAGAAGTGAGGAGTGAGGGGGGATTTGATAGCAGCCTTCAACTTCCTGAAGGGAGGTTCCAAGAGGATGGAGAGAGGCTGTTCTCAGTAGTGACAGATGGCAGAACAAGGAGCAATGGTCTCAAGTTGTGGTGGGAGAGGTCCAGGTTGGATATTAGGAAAAACTATTTCACTAGGAGGGTGGTTAAGCACTGGAATGGGTTACCTAGGGAAGTAGTGGAGTCTCCATCCCTAGAGGTGTTTAAGTCTCGGCTTGACAAAGCCCTGGCCGGGTTGATTTAGTTGGAATTGGTCCTGCCTAGAGCAGGGGGCTGGACTTGATGACCTTCTGAGGTCTCTTCCAGTTCTATGATTCTATGAACATGGGATATGTTTAAACCAGTTTTGTTACCATGCTACATAACTAGTTGAAGGGATTATTCATCATTAAATTAGTTCTAGCTGACAGTTTGTTCAATAATTCGAAAGCTGCTAAGGTATATCAAAATTGTCATGGGATAAAATACCAGCATTTATACTCAGGTTTGTATCCAAAGACTCTTATTATGAATGCTATGTATGTTGCTGCCTGTCTCAGCAAACCTGGTGGAAAGCTGTTTGCTAAGTGATAGAATTCCCTATTAGATAAGCTATGTTTATGTGTGTTCAGTTCTTAGTGTGTTGCAGATATAGTCTGATGGCTGAATTAAAAAATCTGACTTTTAAGTCCTGAAGAAAAATATCAGAATAATGTAGATTGCAAATTAAGGCAATAAATCTGCTCTAAAGAGTGGGGATGTTAAATACCGGTTAATTCAATATTTGATTAGCCTCATGAATTCTTATCAGTTACTCGACTATTCTATAGAACCCGGGAGGGAATGGGTGGGGGGACCTGACCACTCTGCGCTGCTGCCTCTGTCTCAGATGCAGCAGTGTGGGTGCCAGGCAGAAGCTGATCCACAAGGGGAGCCAGCTTAAAAACCAGGGTGGCAACAGCCCCTGACCGGGGAGGTCTGAGCTCCTGGACTGGGCACTAGTTGGGACTGAGACAGGCTGCCTGGCTCCTAATACACTTTAAATGCAGAGCTGCAGCAGGGGTAGGTCCTGGACCCATCGCAAGCCTGGACTGAGCCGGGCTGCTGGCCAGCCTGCTAAAAAACTTACTGGTAGAGGGGAGGGAGAAAACGTATATAGTCTATAGCATTAACCGATAAGCTTTTGCTTATCGGTTAATTGACTACACTGTTACTTCCCTACTAAATGGTAAGGTACACTTCTGGAAGCACTGGGCAATTGAACAACTTAACATTTGTGCTGTTGTAAAATGTATGATTTTGTTACATGAGCTTTTTTCTTTTTCAGCACTTGAGTTTTATGGATACATTAAGCTAATAAACTTTGTTAGAAGGAAGGTAAGTGGACAATTTATTTAATTTATTTTTGTATTGGGGAAGACACTGAGCTTTTACTGTATAATTGTACATTATTTTTCTTTAGAAATAAATAATTGTGGAAATTGGTTTAAAATTTTAGTGAATTTATGCAATGTGTGAGCTGCTTAAGTGGTTTTTAGTTTTAATTTGCAAAATCCACATTAAATAAAATGTAAAAAGATTGATTCATTCCAGGCAGTGTTTCTAGTCTCCCATAACATTCAAATAATTGTCCTTCATGTGGTTGTGCTGCACATTGGGGTTTGTGGAAATTACCTACCAGCCTGACTACAGCTGGAGTAACAGCAGCTGCTCCATCCGGTTTAGGGAGGGGTTTCCCTGCCACTGGATCTGTCTGTGCAGGTAAGATGGGTAGACAGTGAATGGTTACATGCAGGCTGCTACGATATCACAGGCAGCAGTGTGGGGGTAGCAGTCAGCTCTCCATATTGAGGCAGTAGGCAGGACCCAGCTTCAAAACCAGCTCCCAGCACGCACTGGCTTCCAGGGAGCTGGTTTTGGGTGTGTGTAACCATGTAACTGCTGAGTTTTTAAGTGGTTACACATTTACACAATTACTTGCATTTTAACATCCTTACTCAATAGTATTGCCAGAGAATGGAGCTTGCTCCCTTCTAATTTGGTTGTTTCAGGCCTGTCTCTGTTACAGGTTTATATTGATACCAGGATATCTGGTTCAAAGATGTAGTATAGCAAGGACTGCTTCAAGTCCCTGAATACACTACGACTTATTAACATATTACAGCCGTGGTCAGCAACAGGTCGATCGTGATCGACTGGTCGATCGCAAGGCCTTGACCAGTCGATTGCGAGGCATCCACCTCACCCCCCCCTTCCATTTTCCACCCACCCCCGAGAAGCCCTAGTACTTACCTCCAGCGAAAATGGAGGTAGTGCCAGCTTCCCGTGGGTGGACGGAAGTCCCGCAGCTTAGCCCCACTTCTGGGAGTTCCAGAAGTGCGCTGGCTGCTTTGTCAGGCTCTCTGCGGGAGGGAGCCCTGGCTCCGGAAGAGGAGCTTGGTGACTTCCCTGCACTGGCGCAGGAGGAGTGAGTTGTCCCTGGGGCTGGGCCCCAGGGCAGGCGCGCATGGGATTTTCCTGTGCCAGGTGGGGTGGGGGCGGGTGTTGGCCCCAGGGCAGGCATGTGGGAGGGTTGGGGCCCCAGGGCAGGTATGCGCGTGGGGGGGGAGTCGCCCCCAAGGGGTCGCCTGAGTC